TGACGTGGGGCTGTGCGCGTAGATACTGTGGTCTGTCCGTACTGTCACGTCTGCGCCGGTCAAGTAACATCGCCATACTTTGAACGCATGCACGATCGCGAGCATTTCGCGGTCGTGTATCGGGTAATTCTTCTCGGGCGGATGCAGTTTTCGTGACTCGTATGCGATGGGTTGTAAACTGTTGCCAAAATCCTGTAGCAGTACGGCTCCAACGGTGATGTCACTTGCGTCTGTAACCACTTCGAATGGGCGGTGTGGGTCGGCGATGCGCAGTACGGGCGGTGAACAGAGAACATTTCTCAGGGCAGAGAAGGCAGCATGCTCTTTCTCCCCCCACGTAAAAGTGACCCCCTTCCGCAGTGGGGTAGTTAACCGTGCCATGTCGGGGACGAACCGACGCACATAATTAACGAACCCTAAAAAACTCTGCAGCTCCGTGATGTTCGTCGGGGGGTGTTACGCTTTTATGGTGTCCAACTTCTTTGGGTCGATCTCTACTCCAGCCTCCGAAATGACGTGCCCCATAAATTTTAACCTATCCTGAAAGAACTCGCACTTGGAACCCTTGGTCAGTAGTCTGTGTTCGTCTAATACTTCAAATACTGCTTCCAGATCTGCTAAGTGCTGCCGCTTATCACGGCTGTAGACTAGGATGTCGTCGAGGTAAACTATCACGCATTTATCTAAGAGCGGCCTAAACGCCTCGTTCATGGTCATCTGAAATGTCGCCGGTGCGTTGGTCAGCCCGAATGGCATCACGGTGTACTCGAATGACCCGTACCTAGTTCTAAATGCCGTTTTTACGCAGTCCGATGGTTCGACCCGAATCTGGTGGTAACCTCCGCGTAAGTCAATTTTCAAAAAGACCTGTGCTGTTCGCAGTTGATCTATCAGTTCGTCGGAGCGGGGAATGGGGTATCGCGACTTGACGGTTACCCTGTTCAGTGCTATGTAGTAGATACACATGCGAAACCCTCCGGCTTTCTTCGGTGTGAACAGTATCGGTGCAGCGAACGGTGACGAGCTCGGTCGGATACATTTTTTCTCCAACATGTAATTTAACTGCTTCCTCAGTTCATCGAGCTCTGGCTGTGTCGGTCGGAATTGTCGCTGTACAGTTGGCTGTGCCCCCGGTTCTAAGTTTATTCGGTGGTCATGTGCGCGCTGAGGTGGCAGTCCCTCTGGTAAATCATCAGGAAAAATCCCCGGGTACTGTTTCAACAGTTCCTGTAGTTCGTGCGGTACCGCTGCCAGCAGTTTCTGAAAATCACTCGGTTGTTCTGCTTCTCCTACCAATGCTATATCCACTGCGTACACGTCAGCTCCAGCGGCGACAGGCCGTTTCATCGTGATGGCGTTGACGTGGACTGTTGAAGACTCAGGCGACTGCCAGCGAGGTAGCACGGCCCAGTTACCGCTACTTCGCACAGTGCAGCTACCCGTCGTCCAGTCGATTCGCGGGTTATACCGTCGCAGCCAGTCACATCCCAGTAAAATGTCGTGCCCATTCAGTGTCGTCGCGAGCATTTCCTGTGTAAACCCAAAGTTCCCCCCGCAGCGGACTTTTACTCTCTCCCCCTTCTCCCATATGGCCAGCGGCGTGCCGTCGACTAAGCGTGCATCTATCTCCGGTAAACACCGACTAAGTGTCAGTTGCAGCTTCCGTGCGGTTGCGGTATTAGCTAAGCTGTGACTTGCTCCTCCGTCTATGAAAATCTTCACTGCTGCTCCCTGTGTTTTCCCGTGAATCAGTACTGGGCAATCCGTCGCTGTACCCTCCTTATTCATCCGAGCCCGATCGATAGCGTGAATCGGTACTGTGACTCGGAGAGGGCTGGTTAGTTTGGGCGAGCAGGTTGTCTCGTCAGTAGTCGGCCCGTTTCCTACTGACTGTTGGCGTTTCCCTGCCTCTGAGACTCCCTTCCCTGCTTTGCTCCGCGGCGTCTCTGCTCCTCTGGGCATTCGCTCTTGCGATGGCCCGGCCTATTGCAAGCAAAGCAGCACCCCTTAAAGCTCGCGTCTCATATTTCTGCCATCCAACCAAGTGTTAAACGGTAAAAATCCGGTAACAGCAGAGTTTATCGCAAAGCACACCAAAGCAAGGGGTGGGTTGGGAAAGTTGGCTGTCTTACACTTCTCTTTGCACACCAAGCGTTTGCAACTCTCTAAAATATGAGACTCTGAACTCAACGTTGACAGAACCCGGGACCAAACCTGTCCCCCTTGGCTCGTTTTCCACCCAAACCAACCCACCCTGGTTTGTTTTGGCCTCGACTGTTTGGGAGTTCACTGTGTTTTTTTCACCCACTCGTCAAATATTTCGTCATTCGTTACCCAATCACAGACGGGAAAACCCAACCAAGTGTGAAAATGTTGGAAATCTGAGACGCAAGCTTTAAATGGCGCAGCAGCTGCATTCGCCGCAACGGCGTGTACGGTGGCGTGCTCGGTCGGTCCCCGAGGGCGATGTCCGTAGTAGGACCCCGGTCTTGGACGACGCAAAATGTCAAATTTCTCGGCGAGCGCGAGGATCTCGTTGAAATTCGAGAGCCCGCGTACCATGATTTCGTGCGAGATGTCCGGCTTCAGCCCTCCGACGTAACGGTCCACCCGCTCCGCTTCGTGCATGTAGCCGACTTGTTCGCATAATGCGAGAAAACCGCTGGTGTAGTCTTGGACCGACCCAAGTTGTCGCCAAAGTACGCAGTTTCTGACGCGCCGAAATAGAAGCCGCAATCGGCTCGAAGCGCGCTCGAAGCCCTGCGCACCACGCATCCCACGTGCTGTACTGGGCGGTTTCGCAGAACGAACTCCAGGTGACTGCTGGACCCGTGGGCTCTTCCTCTTGCGACGGCGGCTCGTAGGCGCGTGGCGACGTCGCGATGACTCGCCACCAGTCCATGGCGGGGTCCCTTAGCAGCAAAATAGCGTATCAAATATTCGCTGCGTCCGACTCGACGTAATTCGCGTCGAAGAAAACGTTCATCGTGAAGACCCACGATTGAACCGTCGGACCTCCTCGTTGGCTCGGGTCGAAGCAGGGCGGGCGCTGCGGTTTGAGCGGCATCGGCGCGACAATGTCGTTGTTGCCGATTGCTGCCGCGAATTCAACGTGACGACTGGCTTCGCGAGGCCCGCTCGTGCTTGGTGCAGCCCTGTTCCTCCCCATGCCAGGCATTGACTGGGCGGCGCCATCACTGGCTGCGCCTGAGCGCTGTCCCACGCTGTCGTGATGTGACGGTGTGCCGGACAAGATGACAATCGGCTCATCCAATTGCGCAGGTGCATTTGCAGGTGCTTGTGATGGTGCTGGCGCATTCACCGTTGATTGCTGGCGGGCGGAGTCACATTCCGCCGTGAGTGTCGCGATTTCGAGCGCCGATTCTTCGAGTTGGCGCACGAGACGGTCGAGCTGCTGCTGCGTCAGTGTCGCGAGATTAATTTCGGTCATGGCGGGGGTGTCGGGCAAGCTCAGCGAGAGCCTCTGTCGTGGCCGTGCGTGCTTACGAGAGAGCACTTCGAGCGGCGGTGCTTGTTCGCTGAGAGACGTCTACCCCCCCAAAAAATTGAGATAGTGGGGAAGCGAAGGTATGGGTGCGGTCCGAGAGGAGATCGTAGGCTCTGAATACCAAGTGTTACGAGTGCAATTGAGCGAGCGAGCGAGAATTGCACTATCGAAGCAAAACAATACAGTTGAGCGAAAAGCATGAGCGAAGTTATATAGCGAAGCTAGTGTGGTAACGGTAATGCGGGAAATTGGGGTGCGCTACGGGCCTAGCGCCTAGGTTTGGGAAATTGCCGAGGCGGAGGTCCGGAGCGCGGGTTACCAACCGAACCGTTAGGTTGGGTCGCATCGCGAACAGTGGCGGGAGTCGTGGCCGAGGCGAGTGCTGCGAGCGGGTAACGTTTCACAGTGGGTGCCGATGGCGGGAATGGCCATGTACGCGGTAAGCAGGGGCGCGAAGCAGGGTCCTCGCTAGGATTTGAACGCACCTGATGCGTCAGACGGCTCTGTGTCTGATGCATCAGAAATTTCGGGCCAATCAAAACGGGACTGCTGTAAAATCTTGTTTCGGGCCCTTTCTGTAAAGTTAGTTGACTGTGCTAGATGAAGTGCGCCTGCTCGCTCTGCTCTGCACTGCACGATGAGAAAGGGTCGTACAGGGACGCGAACGTGGAGCAGCACCAATCACAGCAGATTCAACCAAGGACCAATCTCACCTTCGACCAATCATAGGTTCGATTGACATGTCAGAGCAGGATGGGATCGAAACTGTAGGCTATAACGTGATTCGGTTTCAGATGAATCAGGAAATACATTTCTGATGTATCAGATGAAACTACAAAATGATTTCTAACCAATCAGACGAAATCAAAATCAAATTTTGGAAAATCAGATTACCTGAAAAAAACTTGTCTGGAAACTAAGACAAACAGACAAAAATGTCTGATGTCGAGGACCCTGGCGCGAAGTAAGGAAAAGGAATTTTCCTTACAACTTAGAACGAGAGTGTTTCGCTTCTCCACAATCGCGTTCTGTTACGAAAGCTGTTTTAGAATGAACAACTCCGGTGACCTCGTGACTGAATTGAGGGAGACGAGCGATGGGAAGGCAGGTGGCACAGACGGATTTGCAGATTCTTGCGATGGCGTTGCCTTCGCTCCCCCCATCATGGCGCGCATCTGCTTTCCGCGCACTGCGCCCACCGCTGTCTCCCCGCTCCGCCCCGCCTTGCTGCCGCCAGCATTTGGCTTGCAGGAGCGCGGCGAAGGCCGCGGAAGCGGGTTGAGGCGGAGATTGATTGCGCGGGGGCGAAGAGAGGGGCCGAATCATGAGGGGGGTTTAAGGGGTGACGGGCGATGTTTTTTGCGACAGGCGAAGGATAAGCGAAGAACCGATGGGTTTGCGACAGGCGATGGATGGGCGACGGGCGATTATTAGAGGGCGCGAGGGGTGAGAGCTCGTTACAAGCAGCCTCGATAGAAACGTCGCGACGGTTTCAATACAGCGGAGGGCGGCGAGGGGAGGATGGCGGCGCGCGGAGCGGAGTGATGCTCGGGCGCGGGGAAACGGGGTTGGGGCGGAGAAGCGCGGGTTTGGGGGTACTGCGCGGAATCGCAGCGAGGCGGGGAGGGGCAGTGAGAGTGAGCGCGCGGGGGTGGTGATAGTTCGGGGCGAGGGGGGCGGCGGAAGAGTCTCTCCTGTGCGGTCGAAAGGGGGAGGAACGAGGGGACGAGGGGGGAGAGGATGCGCGGAGAGGGGACGCGGGAAAAAAAAGCGGGCGAGGGAGGGAGAGCGCTGCTTTCGTGGGAGGGGCAAGGGCAGGCAGGTGGGGATAGGGGCGGCATGGGCGATGGGAGTGATGAGGTTGACAGGCCGGAGGGGAGAAGAAAGCAGCACAGCGAGGCGAGCAGAGCATGGCGCAGCAGGAGGAAGGGTAGTGGGGCAGGGAGCAGAGAACGGGGCAGCACAGGGGAACGCAAGAGCGAAGGCGCGGGGGAAGGAAGCAGCGAGGATATGTTGGTGCCGTCGGCGGCAGTGCTGCTGCTGCTGCAGGGGCGGATAGCGGAGGCGAGATGGCGGCTGCTGGACGAATGCACTCGTGCCCTTGTTGTTGAGGTGGGGTGATTGAGGAACTTGATTAGGTGGCAATAGAGGCCGGGGATGATAGAGCTGCTGGAGTAGACGAGCGAGCACGCACACTTACTGTACAGTGCACACTTACTGTACAGTGCACACAGACGGCCGCGCCGCTGTGCACACGCTGTGATGCTACACGTGGGGCCGTAAAGTCCTGGGGCCCATATAGTGTGTCGAGCCTGAGTGGTTATCTCAGCACCGGTGACAGGTACGTGTGCCATTGTCCGCCCCGGTGCGACGGTCAACTGCCTTGTCTTCCTGGGCCTCGATGGCCACGTCATGCCGGAGTGAGTGACATGGGCAGAGTCCAGGCACGTCAGTGTGTCGGCCAGGATCTCTGTGACAGAGTGGGCGAGTCACGGACCATCTGCTGCATCACGGACCATCTGCTGCATCACGGACCATCTGCTGCATCACAGACCATCTGCTGCATCCTGTGGTGTGGAGGACAATGCCACCGGCCGACCTTAGCGGACTATCTGCCCGCCAGGCTGGCCCTGTCCTCGTGTGCGTGCAAGCTACAGGCCACACCGCAGGACACACGCTGCACGCACTGGGACTACCGTACAATGCCAATCAGGGCGTCATATTGGGTGCCTCGACTGACTGTGCTGCAATGGTTCCGTTCGCAGGATCTGACAAAGGGTATCGTGTACTGTCAGGCAGAAGTGTACGTGCTCATGTGGAACATTTGATTACCTCACACAGATGACTCTGTTCCAGTTCCTGTCTCTACAGAATACCACCGTCTTGGGCACGTGCCAACATGCTGAGATCAGGCCCAGTCAGCGACCTGCAGGCAGCACACAGGTGCTGTGCTGCTGCTACCCCTGAGACACTGTGCGGCAAGTGGACGATCAGGCAAGTGGTGACATGACAGGGGACAGCAGCACTTCGGCCCGGGGCATCTGCGCTCTGTCCCATGCATCTGCATTTTCGGCAGGATGTGCTGAGCCTACGGGATCTGGCAATCAGTCCTGGCACAAGGTCCGGGGCTGGTTCCACGTGCATGCTGGGCACTTGCCATCGCCTCTCTGGCCTTTCCTCTTTCTCCTGTTCCTCGGGCGGACTGCTGTAGTCAGAGAGCTCTGAGTCACTGTCCTGTGCCCCATCGTCTGAAAACAGGGCCCGTGGTACACCGAAATGAGCAACGGGCGAACACCCAACATGCTCGCCCGAACCTCCACGAACATGTCTTGTAGGCGAACCCAACATGTTCGGTTCGCCCGAACATTTGTTTTGCGATTTTAGGTGTTCGGTGTTAGTGATAGGGGGGCGAGCACTGCATGTTCGGGGCGAATCGAACATGTTCGAAATCCGAGAGTGTGTTTCCAGTGGGCCAGCGCCTCCCCCGTGGCCTCCCTCCCCCCCTTTCCGAACATCAAACATGTTCGGTTCGGTCCTGTCACGAACATGTTCGGACGAACCGAACAGGCGTTCGGATTTTTGCTCATGTCGTAGCGCACGCTCCTTGGAACCGTATGCACTACGGGCAAGGTGCTCCGGCACCTGCATGTACGGAGACACTGCCCGCACATAGTTCACTGTCGTGTTGCCCATGCTCATGCGCATGGCGTCTGTGATCTCCCTCATGCGCATGGCGTCTGTGATCACCCTCATGCGCAAGCTAAGGTGCGAGTACGGTGATCACAGGATCACAGACATCAAGCTTGCGTGGGCAGCAGGCCGTGGCTCGTATGGCAGCGTGCCTCGGCATTGGACACTCGAAATGAGGAGCGATGATGAGGCAGGCAGCGGATGAGCACTGACCCTGTCCGACATCCTCAGCATTGCGATTACTTGCCTGTACATGCATCTTCACGCCCATTCACTGGTCCGTGGCAAGTGTCCTGGGGACCGCCCCGTGTGCCGGCAGCACAATTGCCTCTCACGGATCTCATCACAAGATCTGCTGCATCCTTGCGCACTGTGGCAGGGTGTGTAGAGGTGACGTCATCTGAGACAATGAGGCCAGTGACAGCTGCGCCCGGCGATCTGCTCGGGAGCGTCACTGCGCTGTGGCAAAAGAATCAGCGTACGTCCCTTGGCAAGATGACCGAAACGGCTAGGTCGCGTAAGAGCGTGTGCATGCCATGGTGTCCTGGCAGGCAGGGTATCCGCCCATGAGTTCGGTGAGAAAGCAGTATGGGATGCTGGACACAATGTCACATTGCCTGGTCATTCACATGCTGCCCGTGGGACATGCTGCCCGTGGGACATGCTGCCCGTGGGACATGCTGCCCAACAAGCCTGACCTGTTTGCCACACAGCCTATGACCAGCTCTTGTGGCTTCATAGATCAGATTTACACCCCTGCCTCAGTCGAAGTGGCTCAAGGCGGCTCAAGGCGGCTCACCGTGGCTCACCGTGGCTCACTGTGGCGGCTTCAAGGCGAAGGCTAGTTGCTGTTACTGCATGCGTGCATGGTATCAGCACACAGGTATGGCCGTGAATGAGGGCTCTCCTTTCATCGCCCCGGCAAGGCGCGCATGACAGCAAGGCGCGCCAGCTGTCACAACAGGAGTGGTTCACGTATTGCACAGACGTGATTGGCGGCGGTGCTGACGTCAGCGAGCCAGTGGCAGCAGCAACTAGTGGGCGGCAGCGGGTGGGGCAGAGGAGAGCGACTGAGCGAGGTGACTGCAGGGGCGGGTGGCGTTGGAGATGGGGGGGGGGTGGAGGAGGGGCGGGAGGGAGGGTTGTAGGGAGCAGAAGGGGTTGAGAGGAGGGGTGAGCGAGGCAGAGCTGGGTGCAGTGGGGGGGTGGCAGGGGAGGGAGTGGTGGGTTCAAGGGGAGGCGGTGAGGGGGGCAGTGGAGGATGGCAGGTGGGCGCTCTACTGCCACCTGCTGGACCACCTCCGGTTCACTCGGCACGGCGGGGCTGACAGGTGGGACTGCTGGTGTGTCACCGCCTCCTTTGGCGTATTGCCACCTTCTGAAACCTCCCTGCTGTCACACCCACTTCTCCCGTATCAATCGTCTGCCCCTCCCCCTCCTGTCCCCCCTTTCCCCCTGCCCCCATTCCCCACTGCCCCCACTTCCCCCTACTCCCCCCTACTCCCCCCTACTCCAGTTCCTCACGTGGTGGTGGAGACAGCAGAGGCAGCACAGTTCACTCTGGTTCCAACTCCCACCCTGCCCCCCCCGTCCCCTCCTCTCTCCCAGTCGCATAGCATGCACGGGTGGTGGTGGACGATGTGGGGGTGGAGGTGGCAGAGGCGGCGCTGCTGGCCGTGATAGAGGCGGCCAGCAGAGAGGACAGCCGCCACTGGATGGGCCTCTCCCTGCCCGGGCTTAACTCGCTTGACTCGCTTGACTCGCTTCGCTTGACTCGCTTGACTCGCTTGACTCGCTTGACTCTACTGATGGGGACAGCAGGGGGGCTCCCTACAGCGGTGGCAGCAACGGGGTACGGATGGTGGGGCTGAGAGAGTCGCACGGGGGGATTGGAGGGTGGGAGGTGGACGGGGAAACGTGGCAAGGGGAGGGGTTGGGGGTTGCTGGGCAGAGTAGGGGAGGCAGCAGCAGCAGTAGCAGCAGCAGGGAGGAGTGAGCATGAGTGATATGCCTGTTTCGGGAGGAGCAACCTGACATCGGTGGTGGCCATCTTTGAGGACCGCTTCCTCTGGGGGCTGCGCCGCTCCTCCCCACCCTCCTCACTGCTATCCCCACTGCTCACCTCACCCTCCCTGCGACCTGGGCATCACCAGAGCCCTCCCTACCGGCCTCGTCACAACAGCAGCCGGGCTCTCTGGTGCCCTCTGTGTCGTTCCCCAATGACTTCACCAGCGCCCACAGTGCCACCACAGCAGGCGCACCTCTGGCGTGGCTGCAGGGGCTGCTGAGACGAGGCAGTGCGAGCAGCGCGGGTGGTGCCGGCAGTGGTGATTCAGGCATGGATGCTGTGGTGCGGATTGTGGGTGCAGGGGTTGGTGAGGAGGGGGGCATGGGGGCAGCGAGTGGCATGCGGCAGTGGTGGCAAGGAAAGAGGAGGCAGGGGAGGGGAGGGGAGGGGAGGGGGGGCACGGGGGGCATCAGGGGAGGGTGGGTGGGCCGGTGGGTCTGGTGCGGCGCAGTGTGGGGGTATCTGATGGGGGGGATTGCGACAGAGGTGGAATGGGATGGTGGGCAGGCAAGGGTGGTGGGCAGGCAAGGGTGGTGGGCAGGGCGAGCAGTGCTGGTGGTGTGGGCAGCGGTGATTCAGGCATGAGTGCTGCGGTGCGGGTTGCGTTGCGGGTGCAGGGGATGGTGAGGAGAGGGGTATGGGAGCAGCGAGTGGCATGCGGCAGTGGTGGCAAGGAAAGAGGAGGCAGGGGAGGGGAGGGGAGCAGGGGAACGGGAGCACGGGGGGCAGTAGAGGAGGGTGGGTGGCCCCGTGGGTCTGGTGCGGTGCAGCGTGGTGGGCAGCAGATGGGGGGAGCTGCGACAGCTGAGAGGATGGTGAGATGAGTGTGGGTGGTGGGCACTGGGCAGGCAAGGGGTGTTGAGCAAGCATGCCTTCATTGGGATGGCTCCGTGGAAGGCATGTAAGGCAATCTCTCAAGGCTTCTTGTGCTGTGCCTTCATTACTTTCTCTACCCGCTCCTCACTCCCGCCTCCACTTCCTGTCTATCCACAGGAAGCTGGTGGTGGTGGTGGCATTGGAGCTATCGGATCTACTCCTTCCACTCGTGAAGGCAGCCGTCACAGCAGCAGGCAGGGCCGTCTCCTTCCTCCTCGTTGCTCTCATTGTTCGCTCGCTAGGCCTTGTGTATCAGGGCATCCGGCAGAGCTGGGGGCAGGCTCTCTAGCTTCACTGCTGGATAGCTGCTGAGTGATTTTTTACGGATAGTGCAGCACTGGCCATGTCCAAGCACATCAGCTGCAAGCTGTTTTACAATATGTAAGCCTCAACCGCATCAAACGAAGACACGCAAGGCAACAGTGCTTGCTGTAGTCAAGATGTTTCTTTGTTCAGTGAGGTGCCATTGATTGAAGAAGCTACCATATCACATTCATGCACCCTCATTTGCAAATTGCAATGATTTCAATCAGGGTTTGCTTAGGGGCAGCCCCCTGCCATCCAGGCTACCATAAATACATCTCATCATACAGCATGCATGCAGCAAGTAAGATGACCTTGCACAATCACCATCTCTACTTCCTCCTACTGACAGTGAGGAGGCTTCCAAATACATCGTTCAGGGCAGTGCTTGACGTCAATGCAGCCTGGACAAGTGCAAGTGCCTGCAAACACACAAACGAAGACATTATACGGTATTAGTTTCAACAATACACACGACGACGTCCTATACCGTGGACACCCAACCAGCCCCGACTCACATGCTCCTTGGTCACGGTGGTCTCGCAGCTCTCCAGGTCAGCCATGGACTTCACGCCGAGTGTGTTGAGCAGGTTGATGCTCTTGATGGTGGAGCTCGGGTAGAACTCCAAACCGTCTGTCACCATGAATGTCAGTGTCTCCTTCACAAACCCTCCAGAAAGGTTCGCACTGTTCTCGACTAGGGTAAGGGCATTGCTCATGTTATAGCCACAGCTGCTGGGGCAGTATGTTCCTGAATCTCCCACATAATGGCGTGAAGGACACGTGTAGAATGGCCCTGAGCGACTAGCATTGCCTCCTTGACTACACGGAACGGACTGGGTCATGACCCTTGCACACGAGCCACACTTCGCACCCTGTCCAATCGAGATATACCAATGGTTCGCAGTGGCGCACGTATAGTATCCGCCACTTGCGGTTGACTGTGGTACCTCCTGCCAACCGAGTAAGCGCACCTGAGTCCCTTCAGGTGGAGACGGGCTCACAATGAAGCTCTTATCCACCTTCATGTACGAACTGTCGAGGTTTTCCGCGCTGGAGAACACATTGAATATTCCAACGGGTCTTTTGGTTGTCAGGCCGGCTTCAGACAGCAGTCGCAGCAGATTTGCAGTTGGCATGCGAAGGAGAGCCATGAGAAGATCGATGAAGTCCTTTCCAGCCTCCAAGTACAGAATTTTCCCTCGCTCCTGGAAATGTGGCAACGAGAACCTTAGGAACCAAAACCAATGAAAAGAGAACAAAAACGAAACCAAAAAAATATAAAAACAACCCTCTATCCTGCAGATTCTCACTCCTTACCTTGCTGAAAAGTATATTGACTCGTAAATCCGCCATGGGGGCAGCCTACTAAGGACGAGTGAGGAAAAAGAAGGGGTTTATGTTCCCAACGTGAGTGATGCACCATTTCAGCAGTGAGAATGTGCTAGTAGCTGAAGATTCCACGGGGTCGCGGACTGTCCAGGAGTGCGTGTTCAATTAACGACGTTGACACGGCCGTTCCAACTCATGTCACCCGATTGTGCAGCTTCGAACGAGATATTCCACTTGAAACGCACACATAACGAGATACACCAGCCTAGTGGGACGTGGGGTTTCCTTGAGAATGATCCAGAACTATCGCAGCCAGCCAATGCGATTTTTCTTAGTAACCATCATGTGCCTCTGAATAACTGCGCATACTATCCACACATCAGACTTCGAGCATCTCTGCTGGATAAGATTCGGAGCCATTCGAAACACATCAACAATAGCGTCGACCGCCCTTCCAAATTTTCGCACCCGTGGACCGAGGAAACAGCCGATATTATTCTGGCATATACTCTGAATTGAATATATATTTTCATCCTTCCGTTGCGGGATCGGGGAGTCTGAAGGTCCACAGGGTAAATTAGTAGCGTGAATACACTAATCCTTGCTTGCATAGCCCAAAATCTTCTAGAGCGCAGTTGGGCGTGAACTGGGCGTGAACTGGGCGTGTAATCCGTTTGGCATCTGCCTTGGAAATGCTAGGGCGTGTAAACCGGATTGACAAAGTTCCGAACTGTCGGAGTTGGCGACGTAATTCTGTAAGGAAAATGCTGGCGAAAGTAATCGTGGAATCAACACTAACATGTGAACGACACGTTGTCGACCCCTTTGTGGACGGATGTAACAAACCCACATCACCTACGTGACAGAATAAGAACCAGTTTCCACCAAGCAACGCACATTGACACACAAGAAGCTAACGAGAAACTCGCGATGACTTGCGATATGTATGCGATCAGTCAAGAGATTCCAAGCAGAACCATCTCTGAAGCCAAAACCGCACACTCATTGTTGTCGATCGCTGGCCGCCTGGTGGGTCGACCTCGCGTTGTCGATCATTTTGCCAACAATTTGGTCAATTTCGCAAAAAGTAACAGGTTACCACCTGAACTGGTACCTTCCGTCCGTTACGATGGGAAGAGTTTTGCGACGGTGATCCGTGATTGGCCAGCGACACTTCGTACGCGGGCACTCGCATCGATTTTGGCGATTGATCCTGCCGTGTGGTCGGTTCTTGACGGGATTTAAAGCTGAAGTATACATTTGTCATCCAGGTTTCGGGTTTAGGGAGTCGCCTCACGGTCTCACATGCCACCAACCTTCCCCTGCCCCGCCGTCGCGTCCCCTGGCATCGCTTGCCTTGCTCGTCACCCCCCTCTCTCTTCCTCTCATCGCCCTCGCTTTCCCCGTGTCTCTCGTTTTTCCGTCTCCCCTCGTTTCCCCCGTCTCCCTCGTTTTCCCCGTTTCTCTCGCTTTCTTCGTCGCCCTGCTATCAGCTCCCCGTCGCCTTCGCCTTCCCAGCCGTCTCCCTTCCCCCCTCGCACACTTGTCAGCCTCCCTTTTCTCCCCCTATTTACTCCCTTCCCTCGCCCCAACAATCGCCCGGCGCCTCCCCCCCACTTATACCGCTCCCTCTCACTGCTTACCTCTCTCCCTCTTCCCCCCATCCTCTGCCCTGCTCCCCACAATCCCCTGCCCTGCTTCCTCCCACCCTCTGAGCTGCTTCCCCCCATCCTCTGAGCTGCTTCCCCCCATCCTCTGAGCTGCTTCCCCCAATCCTATTCCCTGATCCCTTCCCCCTTGCCCTGCTTCCCTATCCTCTTCCTTGATCCCCCCCCCCCCCCCCCCCACCCTTCTCCCCCATCCTCTGACCTGCTTCCCCCCAACCCCTGCCCTGCTCTCCCCCCCCCTTGCCCTGCTTCCCCCCATCCTCTTCCCTGCTTCCCCCCATCCTCTCCCCTGCTTCCCCCCATCCTCTCCCCTGCTTCCCCCCATCCTCTCCCCTGCTTCCCCCCATCCTCTCCCCTGCTTCCCCCCATCCTCTTCCCTGCTTCCCCCCATCCTCTCCCCTGCTTCCCCCCATCCTCTCCCCTGCTTCCCCCCATCCTCTCCACTGAGAGGTGAGCGGCACACGCCAGGTGAGACTAGGATGAGATGAGGGGAATGATAGATGAGATCCACGTGGCAGGTGAGGGCGTGGGGGACGCCGGGAGTGAGAGGGGTATGGTAGGTGAAGGGCGAGGCAGATACGGTACGCAGATTCCAAGAGCAACATGCAACTGCAGCTGCATTCGATGTGCTGCCATTCTCCCCCGTATTCTCTTCCCCTGCTCTTGCCTCTCCTCCATACTCTCCCTCTCCATGTTTTCCTCCTCTCCCTCCTTTGCACTTCCACCCCTCCTGCGCCTGCTCCACCCCACCCATATCCCAGCTGACAGGAGGTCGACCTTGAGGCCTTGCAGAAGATGGACCACAGCAAGGTGTGGGACGCGAGTCTGCTCTGCACCCTCCTTACCTCCGTTCCTCCTTACCTCCCGTATCCCACCCTCCTTACCTCCCTCCCGCCCGCCCTCCTTACCTCCTGCTGTGCGATCACCACTCCCCAGCGTTGCTTCTTATTCTTTCTCGCCCGCCCCCTCATTTTTTCCCGCTTGCCCCTCTCCTCTCCTTCCCATAGGCCCTCCCACTCTCATTCCTTCCTGCCCCCCTCGTTATATGTATTGGGCGTGAAAACGAAGCATGCATGAGTTGCAGGGGTCTGGGTTTGAGAGTGTACTGAATGCTACTGACTATCTGTACTGATGATGTATTTCCTTGATATGCCATGTTATGATTGAGAATTACTGAAAATTCGTCAACAAACCCTGACTTTACCCTCACAAACAGGATCTGTCAACAGCCGGCCACATTGCCTCTCTGCTCTCTGTTTAATATCTGTGAAACAGAAAATCGGTTAAGTAACAAATGACAATTGTTGGAAACAAGTAACTTAAGCGCCTCTGTCGTGTCGAAGCACTAAGTTATAAGCGAAGCGAAACACAGCGAAGCACCGGCGAGTCAACCCTCGGAGGTTGAACAACTGGTGGAGGTTACGCGAAAGTCAAAGGTCAGCGACCTTTGACCTGACAAATACAGCGCGACAGCAAGGACAAACAACTGACTCGTTATTGAGCAGTTGCCCGAGTCGTCACTGTATCGAACCGCAACAGCAACAGCAAAACGGTTATTAGTTACGGTATAACTCTTCATATTCCCTTGTACTCTTATAAAAGCTTGTATCTCTTTGCTTTAATCAATCTACTTTGCCCTCACATACCGGCGCAAGGTGGTTCACAAACTTCTCATTAAACGCTTCCGCTATTACATTGTCCTACTCAGAATTTAGTCCTGCAAAGATCCTAAGGGCTTTTCTCAGCCCAACATGGTATGAGAGCTATCAGGACAAATTCAACTACAATCAAGACACCTATAACGTCACAAGGCATGGCAACGCAGAAGGAGAGAAGCTCCTCTAACGGCTCTCCCGGTACCACTCCTACTCCACCTCCTGCCTCTGGCCTACAGACAGAGGAGGGCACAACAACAAGACCGGCTGCTGGGTCTACCGAAACTCCCGCAAATCAAGCCGCGGCCTTCGACCCAGACATGATGGAGAAATTCTTCTCCTTCATGTCCTTCTACGAACAACACCAGCAAGGAGCACCTGCGCAGTCAAACAACAGCAACAACAACAACGCAACACCGATGAGCCTCGACGGTTCATCCTACGCACGAGGAAATCAGCAACAACAACCTACCTTCGCCCCGTACGAACCTCAGCGCGGTTCCGTCAGCTTCATGCCGCGCCAGCAACCTTCACCTGAACAAGAGAAGACACTAGATGCACTTCAAGTTCAGTCGCAGTTTGCGCACGTCTTAAAACTGCAGACGTCAAGACCGTTCGACGGAAAGGACTTCTTTACCTGGTCATTCGAATTCGAACTGATGATGGAAGGCACGCAGATTCTGGGCTTCTTCAACGGGTCTCTGCCATATCCAACGCACGGGACACAATATGACAAGCAGCAGTACACATATCAATCCATGATGGCGTATACAATCCTACTACGCAACGTCACACCGAACCAGCAGCAGAACATTCGGTCTTACCGAGGATACGGGAACTCCGCCGAGCTCGCGTACAACCACCTGAAGAACCTGTATCAGGCAACAGACAGCGTCAATCAGAGTCGGTTAATAGCACAACTGACAACAGTGGAAATGAAACCGGGCGAAAAAGGGATGGCGTATATCAGCCGCTGTCGCGAATTGCGCGACAAACTCCTTCGATGCGGAGGGTCGATATCAGAAGACGCCTTCGTCACAGTCATCATTGGCGGTCTTGGCCCTCATTGGCGCTCCACTCGCGCCATACTCCGAGCTCACGGAAAGATCTCCGAAGCAGCACTATGCGCCGAAATTCACGCTGAACAGCAAGACATGGACCTACAAGAAGAAAAACACAAGAGGAAGACGTCAGTGCTTGAGTTCGCTTTCCACACTCAACGACGCTACAACAACAACAACCATCGGCAAAACAAGTACCAAGGACAGCAACCCGTACCTCCGTTTTGTCATCTCTGCAAAACGTCAGGTCATCCCCGCACACACTGCCCTAACCGGCAACAGTCAGCACCAACGCAGCGGCAGCTTCGACCTTCAAGCAGTCAAGTCGCCTCAACGCAAGTAAATCCCACCACTCAAGTGCAAACGTCAACAACGTCGACAGGACAACCTGCACAAGGAACAAGGAACATCGTCAGCTGCATGGCAAGATTGACCGACTCCTGCATCACCGAATCGCCGCCGCACTACTCACCAGAAGAACAACTCGACGAAAGGACCCCACGTCGCGAGTCACTGCAACCGAACCCAACGTACGCAGCCATCACCCAAAGTGAACCGTCTGGGAAGGATACCTGGTTCTTGGACAGTTGCTGCGGACAACACATGTGCTCTTCAGGTCGCTTCGTTCAACGAGAATACCAACTTCAGCGGGAAGTCGTCATCACCGTCGCCAACAACCAGAACCTGCGCACACGACGACAAGGCGTGGTGCAACTTCAGTCACGAGAGACAAACGTCATATTGCAGATGTCAAAAGTATTAATTGCAGAGGGACCCGACTACAACTTACTGAGCGTCAGCCAGCTGATGACGAAAGGCATCCATCTCGAAGCAGACAGCACCACTCAGGCGTTCAAGCTGTACCACGGGAAAGGCGGACTCTACATCGGCAAGGCCGTGCTAAAGAACAACGTGTTCGTCCTCGACTTCGTTCCAGACTTAGGCACCGCCGACAGCGACGGCATCGTCACCTTCACCTCCTGGACGCACCCACCGGATCTTGATCCTGACTTCAGTCCCGAAGGCTTCTGGTATTCACATACTATTCCTGAGGCAGAACGAACAAGAGCATTAGCAACGATTCAACACTCGGCAGTAGCAGAGACAACATCGGCAGCAGCAGAGACAACATCGGCAGCAGCAGAAACAACAGCAGCAGCAGCAGAGACAACACCGGCAGCAGCAGAGACAACACCGGCAGCAGCAGAGACAACACCGGCAGCAGCAGAGACAACATCGGCAGCAGCAGAGACAACACCGGTAGCAGCAGAGACAACATCGCCACCAATCGCAGGATCTTCAACGGCACCGGTCTTCATCGACAACACACCACTAACTTCTGCGCAACAGCTGAACCCAACTCCACGAGAAGTCCATCGAAGCGCAAACCACACCGCTGGGTTCTACTCCAACTCCGACTTGTACCGCCGCTCACTAGGACATCGCGCTGACGAAGATCTCTGGCATAAACGAATGGGACATCCGAGCAACACAACGTTAAACAACACGATACGAGCAGGCGTCGTTGACAAAGACTCACTGCTCTTACCAGACGGGAGAGAACTTCGACGAATGAGAGGATCCTGCTTCACCTGCCCAGAAGCTGACTCACCACATCAGCCCTTCGTTTCTCACCACAACCCGAGCGCACCAACTTATGCACCACTTGAGAAAGTGTACAGCGACATCCTGTACAACCGCGAACCTGGGCAAGGAGCATACAACTACACCATAACGTTCATCGATGCCGCCACGCGTTACGTTTGGCACCTTAACCTTCCGAGCAAGGACATGGCTTTCGAGGCCTTCGTCGCTTGGCTCCCAGTAGCAGAACGAGAATCGGGCGTGAAGCTAAAAAGCTTCCAGTCAGATGGAGGAGGAGAATACACCTCACAGAGGTTCAAGCAGTACTTGGCAGAAAGAGGGATCAAGCGGCTCATCTCCCTTCCCTACGCCCATCAACAGCAGGGTGTAGCAGAAAGAATGAACAGGACCCTTGAGAACACCATGCGCAAGCTGTTACGCGGCATGCGGCTACCCAACCACCAATGGCCCGAAGCAATGGACCACGCTGTCATGCTGCACAACTTGCTCTCGTCATCATCGCTCCCGAACAACGCATCACCGCACCTGCTGTGGACAGGAAAACAGGGCAGCACAAAAATGTTAAGAGTTTTCGGCTGCATGGTACAGTACAGACCCCCATCTGCACGAGCCGGCCGATTTTCCCAACGCGCACAGTGGGGACTACACCTGGGCATCGAAAGAAATTACAACGCGTGGAAGATTTTCGACGTCCACTCAAAGGAAACAGTAGCAGCACGTGATGTTATTTTCTACGAACGACTCACCCTTCCGACGTACCTTGCCAACCTGGAAGAAGATCGGGACCCCACAGGTGGTTTCCGTGGTGACCGAGCCTTCGCCTCGGCAGCAGACGAAGCTGACTGGGACGAGCAGAACGTGGATGCAGCCTCGGAGGAAGCTGGACCTCTCCCTTACTGCTCCGTCGACGTCCCAATGGATGACGAAAATCCTCGAGACAGCACCAACGCCGAAGTATTTTACCACTTCGCCGACAACGGTTACGTTACACCTGCAAGAGTCAACACCAACGAAGCAGAACGCATAGGGCCCAATTTCATACCTGACCCAGAAGCAGGTGACGAAGCAGCTTATCCCGAGGACACAACACTCCCCCGCTACACATAGAGTGGTCTCCAAATACTCGGCCTCATCACGGCGGTCCACGGCGTCGCGCTTCCTAAGGAGCCTGCCACGGTTCAGCAGGCTCTGGGGGGGAAGCATAGGGAAAAATGGCGCGAAGCCATGGACAGGGAGCTGAAAGCACTGGAGGAACGCAACACTTGGAAGGTTGTTCCCATCAGCGTGGCACAAAACAAGACAATACTTACCGAGAAATGGGTTTTCCGTGTGAAGACAAAGGCAGATGGCACCATAGACAAGTTCAAAGCGCACTGGGTCGTACGCGGCTTCGACTAAGAACACGGACACGACTTCACTGAAATGTTCGCGCCGGTCAGCCGACACAGTTCACTGCGAATTCTTCTCGCAATTGCCGCCATGAAGAAAAGGAAGCTGCGACAGATTGACGTCGCCAATGCCTTCCTCTACGCACCCGTTGACGCAGAGATCTTTGTTGAACTACCGCATGGGTCAAACGGAGAACCTAACAAGATCTGTCAGCTGCAGAAATCTCTGTACGGCATCAAACAGGCACCGAGACTGTGGCAG